TGAGGTGGGCATTTCCTATGCATGTTGAATGATGAGGTGGCATGCTTGCATGTTGAGAGAAATATGTTAGTGGGAGCTAGCTATTTAGATATAGAAGATTAAGAGAAGGCAAACCTTTTCTTATGCTTCATCACTCCTCCAATTCAGCATTTATATTCTACACGACAGCCCTAAGATAACATCATTGTGCACACACTTGTAATCTCTGTTTTGATCAATGGTATCTCTATTTTTTTTCTTACCTTCAGCATCCGTAAGACTAATTAACTTGCAGTGCAGCTTTCTACATGCCCTATCTCCACACTTGAGTCGATGCCAATTTAATGAGACTTCGGACTTAAGATCACCGGCCCTTGTTTTCAGCCCATAATATTATATTAATCGATGTTGTAACATATAGTCGCTGCACGTGCAAGAAGAGTATCTTATGATGTGTTTGTGTTCTCACAGGGGTTTGGAGAAGCTGAAGTGCCACGTTAAAGAGCTCATCTGTCTAATTAACACGTATCAAACATGCATCAGCTCCTACCTTTCAGGGGGTCAAATTTAATACTACCTCCGTCCCGGTGTATAAGTCATTCGCGTAGTTCTAGGTCGATAATTTAATTATCTAAATATGTATTATATGTGATAAAAAATATATATTTAGAAACTACATCCGCGTGGAAATCTAGTGATATACTTTTCATGACATATAACACATATTTAATTCCTCAAATCGATGACCTAGAACTACGCGAATGACTTATACACCCGGACGGAGGGAGTACACGCCATGAAGTTATCTCTGGTGTGGAAAGAAACCGTGTATTGCACTCAACAATCTTAATCACATGGTATCATATATAACTGTAAAATATGATCGAGCAATAAAACTATCTTTCTTAGCACGCATACATCACACACATGCATCCATGCAGGAGTATTATGCTACTTATATTAAATATTTTAAAAACTAGGCAATTATCAAATACAAAAGATACACAAAGTTTATTTGTATTTTTAGTTCAAGTTCACATCATTAGTCTTAATGTTCTACACAAACAAATACATTTAAAAATATATAGTAACCCATTTTCACATTAATGCATTAGTTATCATCTAGTTATATGTTGCTTTGCGGCCGTCACATATTCAATGGGGATGCATCTCTTCTTGTGATCACCACATAGTACGTTAGAAGTTCCGGCATAATAAAGAAACGTATTCAAGTCCTTCATAAAGTTCTGGTATAATAAATCTATTTAACTAATTCATGCCAACGATTTATTTGTAATTTAGCTAAGATAGTTATATCCTCTTTCCGCAGAAAGTATCCCTTTCGCCGTTGTTTTCTTTCTATCTGAGGCCGTTAGGTACAGCTGATGTCACAGCAGAAATAACTCCATATCCGGCGGTTACCGGTCTTTTTCATCAACCGTGTTACTCAACACGTTGAAAGGCCCCCCTTTGGTCAATTTCATTGACATGCAATGGAGATCGGAAAACAACCAGCACAACAGTCGTTGTCACCAACGTTTAGTTTGTCACTGCTGAGCTATGCCCACTAGACTTGTTTACTTAGCTATTAAACGTCAAGGAAAATAACCATGCTGTAGCTAGCACTATTGGGTCAACTCTATGCGCACAGTTATTGTTTGTTTTGTAAGTACTACTTATGGCCTTCATTTCACCATCCTTATAGTTATAGTAGATAAAATGTGAAAATTAGTAGCAGCATGCACGCCACCTCTCATATATTTTTATTTTATCTCCAAATTTGAAATATTATATCTTTTGACCCAAAAGTTTAAATTAAGTTTTGTTCGTGTATTTGTGTTCGTTGCGATGAGAACTTTCGAACAAGAGCACTCTTGATTGCGTTATGACAACTTTTAAATTTAGTTTCGTATTAAAGCTTGATAGCTGTAATATTAAGTACGTACCAAATAAATTTCAGTTTTGAAACTTGGTGTTATCGTTCGTTCCCAGCAACTTTTAGTAGTTGAAACTTGGTGAAAATTTTCCAAACTTGTCAAAACGTAATAAAGAATGGTATTGTTTCAAAGTTCTAGTCGCAAGGAACACGAATATGCAAATGAAACATAAAATTAGACTTCTGGTTCAAAAGATATGGATTTAAATTAGAAAGTCAAAAGAAAAAGTATGAGAGAAGGGATGGGTGGAGCTGCCAAAAGATGTGAATTCATATTATATAAACATATGCACAAAGTATACATGGGCAAGAATCACCACAGAGAGCTTTGCATCAAGGCGTCTTACCAAGTCAAGAGGGTCGATCTAGAAGAAGTTTTAACCCTATGGGCCATGAGGGGTAGCTCTTCTTTAAATAGAATATTGCACCAAGAAAAAGAAGGCACCACATGCTTAAATAAAGCTGTTCCGCTCCTTCCAAATGTTCCATCGGAAATGATAAACCCCAAACATTTGGTATTTGATCATGGCAAATCAAACGTTTTCGATGGCAATTCCAGTGACGCGAGGATGACAAGTTTAGTTGATACACACAATAATTTTACTGGCAAAAAAATACACTGAGCATGGATTTGCCATGCTTGCCAACTAAACTTGCCATCCTCGCGTCACTAAAATTGCCACCGAAAATGTTCGATTTGCGATGGTCAAATCCCGAACGTTCAGGATTTATCGGGGTCCATGTTCCATAGGACAAAAATGGATGCCTCCTAAAAGCACGGGCCTTAAGAGCAGCAGCCTATATGGCGTGGGGCAGGGAGGCTGCAGAAGACCAAGTAATACCCATAAACCACCACCAACAACAAAGCAAAAGCACACTCAATGAAAAATATGATTTCAGGTTTTCAAGGTGGCAAGAGATCACATTAAGCAATAAATTAGGAAAAGAATCCGGGTACCAGGGTCGCCCTATCATCGTATCATGAGTGTTAAGGCGATCCACCCAACAAAAAGCCAAGGGAAAACTTTGATCTTAGAGAGGCTTTCACATTTCCAAATTTTATGAAGAAAAAAATGGCACTTGAAGACCAACATACATGAAATGCTGGATCCTAGACGGAGATTACACATCAGTGCCCCCACGTCATTCTAAAAATACAATAATACCTCCGATTGATAAAATTCCCTATAGGCTTGAGTGGAGAGAGGGAGTCTAAAAATAAGATCCGTCTCCACAAGCATACCATCAAGATAAATATTCTGATTGAGGACATATGAGAAGAGTCCTCAAAATTGTTTTCTGGAATGCACCAAGTAATGACACGGTAAGTTAGCGAAAGGGAGAAGGCATCACACCAACAAAATGATCCCACGTGACCAAGAGCACGAGGAACCACAACCTAATAGTATGTTTGACAGATAAGAGCAACCTATGGAACATCACATTTCTGATAAAAATCATGTAGTTGTTTAAGAAAAAGGTCCTCAATTTGAAACATGAAGATTAATCACACCCACAATCCCCTTCCTCTTCGGTTGGCACAGTATGGCACACACATCCAAGGATTGTGCCTGTTCTCTAGATCATCTTTGGCCCAATGACAATGCCGACAAGATCTATCACGTGCTTCATCACGGGCTTGTGAACCTTCAACTACCACATGAAATAAGTTATACACGTTGTTATCCGTAACACAAGAATTCGCCAAATTAGGTCAAATATCTCACAAGAATACATCCTTAGAGTCTCCATACAGGCGTCACCACCATGAAGCTACAACTTGACCACCAAAATGTATACACGTTGCACCCATTTGAGATGAGAAGGACACACATGACCTAGGCTGAGGACTTTGGCCACCACTTTCCAATAGAAATGCACGCGTATGTGTAGAGGGATCCAACACTTGTCCATGGCTCTTGGTTAGCGATACGCCCTCCATGTTTCCTTCATTATGATATTGGCGTTTTCTTATTTTACATATCGATATAGACAAATATACAAACTAGATACATCTTAGAAGCTGCCTATGTACAAACTACATAAAGATCAGTCCACCACAGAAAGTGTGTATATTAGTGCATAGTATAAAATCATAAAATATACTAACGGACGCCGAAAAGCTAGTAAACATAAAATACAAAGAGCTTCTCAAGGGTAAGAATCTCAGAGCAACGCGTCTTATTTGTCGTCAAAATAGCTAGTAAACAGTCCTGTCCATACGAACCACGTGTCGATCGACCAGTACTCTCGCAGGTCAAACTCTTTGCGTGCTGAATGTATCTAAAGGTAGAAATTCGGACCACCGACTCGTTTGATTTATTTTCTCTCCTGTTCTTTTGGCAAACTTGACGCTTTTTTTCCTTGAGTACAACAACTTTATTGACTTGGTTAGAGAAAATGCAAGTGTCATGTGCTGTTGAGAGGTCAGGCTATAGATCACTCATAATATTATAGTACTCCGTACGCTTTCATGCATGCACCGCCATCGTTGTTGTTCATAGAGTCGCCTTTTGAATGGTTCTGTACTTTGGTGTGGAAGAAGAACGCAAGTTCGCATCACGCTAGAATAAGTACAAAAGCGCACCGTACTGCCGTACGCTTGCATGCGTAAGGTAGAGACTCGTGGAGTCATGCATGTGGTACTTTGGCGTGCAAGAAGTTCGTACGTGCCGATGCATTGTGCTAGAATACACCATTGACCAATGCTCTCATATTGATCTTTCCCGTAACACATTACAAGCCCTTACAAGTACAATGAAATTAATCGCATGGTATATATGCAAGGTACAATGAAATTAATCAACAGGTAAGCCATCTCGGGAAATACAAATATTGTCTCAAAAAGTACAATAAAATTAAGGAGATATATGCAAGGTATAAGAAACGATGCATATTCTCATATTGCTCATTCGCATAACATGATACAAGCCCCAGTTACTATTGACTAAGGCCTACATAAGCGCCCAAAAAGCAGGTGGTCGGGGAAACCACACCGGCAAAATGGGGTGCCCCACCTTGATGGGTACGTATGTATATATGTATACGCGCACTGTATACATTGAGGTAAGAAGATACTAACGTACTACACGTGTTGTGGCGTGCTGTTGGGTGGGGTAGCAGGTACGGCCAGGATGGCATTGCGTTTGCCACGCTCAGATATGCTGTTCTCAGCGAACTTGAGTCCGGCCATGTGGAGACCCTTGCCCTTCTCCTCCTCCGTCCACTCGGCGGCATAGTACTCCTCCTCGGTGGCGTCCGCGCTGGGAGGGACAAGCATGGAGCCCCACTGTGGGAAGTGCACGAGAATGACGGGGAGCGTGCACACCATGATCATGATGCCCATGTACTGGAGTCCTTTGCCGGTGGTGTATTGCGATGAAGTGAAGAAGAGGAGCTGTGTGAGACCGCCACCCACATTACCGCCTGCACCGGTCATGCCAGAGACGAGCCCGAGGGAGCGGCGGGAGACGAAGGGGATGACACCATAGACAGCGCCGCATGCAGCCTCGACACAGATGGAGTACAGGACCATGCATGCTATGGAGGTGGGAAGGGTGGATGCACGACCGAGACAAAGGCAGAAGACTCCACCAGCAGTCTGGAGGATCCAGATGTTCCAGAGTCGGGCACGCATGCCGAAGTAGCGAGCACCAAGGTCGGAGAGGTACCCGCCCATGGGGCGTGCAAAGATATTGGCCAAGCCAAAGCAGGCGGCAATGATACCTGCTTTTCGAAGGTCGAGGTAGAAACTATCGTAGTAGTACCCGGCAATCACGTTGTTTGAGGTGAGCTCGACGCCCATGCAATAGCCATAGATGAAGACAAAGATCCAGGTTCGATAGTTGGTGACGGCTCCACGGAGAACCTTGGAGAACTTGTCCTTGTTCATGTCACCATTTTTTTGGAGGTTCCTCAGGTTGCCATCGGGAAGGTCCTGTCCCAAGGTGAGCACGAGCAAGCCCATCACCACCAACATCATTCCTGGCACGAAGTAGGCGATGCGCCACGCGGTGAAACGTGTCGCACCACATGCCTTGATGGCATCGAAGACGAAAGGCATGATGAGCTGTGTGGCACCTCCACCCATGTCTCCCCACCCCGCTGTTAAGCCGCCGACTGTCCCAATGATCTTGCTATTGAACATGGTGCTGATCCAGTATTGGCATGACACAAAGGTGGCAAGTGAGACACCAATGAGGAAGCGTACAATGATGTATCCGGCGGGACTGTCGATGACGGACATGCAGAACACTGCCGGTGCAGAAAGCATGATGAGGAAAGCACCGCCGTAGCGTGGGCCAAGAAGGTCGCAGATGGCGCCCATGGCCAACCTTGAGAAGATGGCACCAGACACAGAGGCGACCCCAGCGTTGCCGATGTCAGCCTTGGTGAGGTTGAGGTTGTCGCGAATGATGGGGATGAGTGGTGCAGCGGCGAAGGTGGAGACAACGCAGGTGAAGAAGGACATCCATCCAAGGTGGAATGCACGCATGTGTGGGTTGCCGAAGGAGAAGATTTTGATGGACTTGGCCTTGTGCTCAGAGTCCACCGGCAGCGAGAAGTTGGTGGATGCTGCGGTGGCGCCTGTCGAACCGATCTCCATTTCCATGTCCTCTTTTGTTGAGGCCCGAAGCCTTCTTCTTTCCTTGGTACTTAGCTCTCTTCAGAGCTGCACCGCGGACTGAAGAGGCGAGAGCTAGGTAGCTAAGTCTCTATGTTGTAATGGTTGGGTGCTCAAGAGGTTAGAAGGATACATGTATTTATAGCATGCACGGTCCTTACTTCAGTTTGACACGTTCTCTGTCGTATCCTGACGTTTCCTTTTGTCCCCATTTCTCTTGATCTGCTGAAATTAACGCACAACATCAGTCACATGTTTGACCTCTTCTGCTTCTTAATTAGTAAGAGCGTCCATCTGTCTCGTTGAACTTATCAGGCTGTTTCGTTGAACTTATCGGGGTTGCCGGTGAAAACTATGTATGGGTTCTAACAGGTTCTATACAAACATGTAAATTCTCAAGTTCGCACTGAAATTTTGAAAAAAATAATAATATGGTTTTCCATGGAGCTGTCGTACACAACAACTTGTTTTCAATTGGATTTTTTTCTCATATCTTTAGGTATGTGCATATTTCACACATCATCGTATGCATGATACTGGCCGTGAACCCGTGTTTTAACACACGACATATGTATAGATACTAGGCGACGTGTGTTTTTCATGTAGTGTGATGTATGATACTTTTTTTTTGCTGGTGTATGATACTTCCTACTGTGATCAGCCTTCTCAACAAGTAAAGGAAAAATAGTGATTAATGGAAGTTTTAGGGCGTCACACCCTAGGTAGTGAATGCCAAGCATGCCAATAAATGGAGAGTAACTAAGACATGCAGTGGATGGTTTTTTTTTTTTTTTTTTGAAAGAGAAGTATTTTGAATGAATGCTTGATTATTGAAAAACGATTCAATTTCTCTTGAGAAAGGTAGAGGGAGGAGAATGTGGCCTTCTATTTGTGATGATTTTTAAGATTGTTCTTATATACTCCTTCCGTCCTTTAAAGAGTGTACTTCCAATTTTGTTGGAGGGTCGGACTATTTCAAAGTTTGACCGAGTTTGTGCAAAAATATATCAATATTTGTGAAATCAAAAAGGTATATGATGAAAATATATTCTATTATGAATTTAATGCTACTAATTTCATGGCATAAATATTGATGTATTATTGTATAATTACGGCTAAACATTAAAATGTTTGAATTTCCAACAAAGTTGGAAGTACACTTTTTAAAGGACGGAGGGAGTATACATGAAAGCTGGGAGTAGCTAATATAAACAAAACCACAGTCATTTACAAAAAACATGCACAGTAGTGTTCGTGCCGTTCCATGTTAACTCGTTGGCTCCATATATATATAGGAATATGTGGCTCTATGGCCTCTATCTATGTACATAGATATTAAGTTTTGTCAAGTGAATATAGTAATATGCAACTTTTATGATATATAGTCATAAATAAGTACACTCTCTGTAAAAATATATAAGATCTATTAGTGATCTAAATGTTCTTATATTTCTTTACAGAGGAGATGTCACATAAATATACTAATCACATAATTGTTGAGGAACGGCTTGTCCCAACCTAATATCCAAAGTATTCTAAGATGGACTGGTGTATTTCTTTAGAGGTTTATGACAGCTCCAAACAAAGGTTAATTAGGTGAGGACCAATTCACCAATATTTAGAGGACACTGGTGAAAGCGCTGTGTGAAACCGTGCTGGGAGTTTCTTCTTTTGGAATCTAGCTAGCTAGTGTGCATAGTTTATGTGTTCTCGGAACAACAGAGCTAAAGTGAGAATTACTTTCAAGTAATTAATGGCGACTTGACAGCTTATTGGCTTCTAACGAAATTGAGAAATTGGCTTCTAACGTAATTGAGAAATTATAATAATACATTATATGATCTGTCGAGTGGAGCTTATCAGGGTTGGCATGGTACGTACTCTCTCTATAAAGAAATATAAGAGTGTTTAGATCATCACTTCAATTTTTTAAACGCTCTTATATCTCCCTTTATGGAGGGAGTAGTACATATGTTAAGATTATACACGGTAAAGATAATTACTACGTTGATCGTGTACAAGAGTTGAAACCCAAATGTATTGGTATGTATATACACCTAGCTGGGGAGTACAAACACAACCACATGCAAGTGTACGGATGAGTGATGTGTATACGACCAGGTACCTCCTCCTTTAAGTGACTCGCGTCGCGATCGACGAGATACGTTTTTTGACTCACCTTGATTTATAACTTGACAGGTTCTAGAATGAATCTTTGACTTAGACCAGGTGGTAACCAGCAGCAGCACTAGCGGAGTCAGCACGACATTCCAATTCCGTGTCGTGTAGCTTACCGAGTAAGTAATTAAGTACTCCTATAAGTATAGCAACGACGTGTGTGACTACGTGCACATGCATGCAACTGTATGGTGGCTGCGTCTTCGTCGTCGTCAAAAGTCAGGCTCCATGCATCTACTGTCCACTAATAACTGCTAAGAATATATAAAAGTGAATATAAATGGTAACAAGTGGGAAATCTAATTGGGCTCTAGGAAGCATGTGCTCCTGCGCACCCAAAATGTATTTTGCAAATGTATTTTTTTTTTAAAAATAGATGTGTTTATTGTCACACCAAATTGCTAGTAGTACCTGCAAATTTTCAGGGGAAAAGTTTAAGCATTTTGACTTGTACAAAAAAAGTAAGTCAAACGACAAATGTTACCTTCGAATGTTACACACATAAATTTTTTTTCGTTGATGAAGCACTGATATTCCGTTTCCCATGAAAATTGTCAAGCACACTTGTTACACTAATATAACCATCTACATAAAACAATCAGGTTTTTAAATTTTAAATTTACAGTTCACCTGGGAGTATTTGCTCCCTAGAGATAGAACGGCACTCCCATAACAAGTACGGATATAAACAAATTGAAATCTCGCGCGTCGTTATGGGAACCTTGTTGAAAGAAATGTAGGAATAGGTGCTATAAAACATTAACCTTGTCGAAAGAAATGTATAAATAGGTGCTACAAAACAACTAAAGCTAATGGAAAATAAATGCATGAGTATTTTGATTTGCATGTTTGAAACAGTAAATTCAAAATGATGTATACTTTTGTATCATTCATGACCACGGGTGTAAATACTTTGATTCTGTCATTTTAGCCCAGAATGCTTTGATTTTGGTGGCACTGTTGTAAGTGCATCTAGTGCCACCCCTAGTTGGTTTTGGAGTATTGACGGCAAACCTAGTTGAGGGACTAATGTGTTTGTGAGAATTGCAGGATAACACAGGTAGAAGTCCCTCATTGATTCGGTTTTACTACCAGAGATGACCCCTAAAAATGTATGAAGACATTGAAGTCAAAGGTGGTATATGAAGATATTCACATTGAAGACTATGACAAAAGAAGACACGTTATGAAGCCTATGGAGCTCGAAGACTTAGATCTTTCGTAGTTCTTTTTCTTTTGTGTTGAGTCATAGGAACCACCGTACTGTTAAGTGGGGTCCAGGAGAACCAGTCAGAATGACTGAAGTGATGCCTAAACCAAAAAAAAAAACCTATGTCTTCGAGTGAAGACAATGAGAGCGAATCTTGTCCAGAGCCGGACAAGTCAGCTTTGCTTGTAGCCCAAGTAAAGTTGCCATGAGAGTTTGAAATCTGACCGTTGAGACACGTATCAGTTCCTTAGTGACCCAGGGTCATTTCGGACAAATCAGGTCGGGTTGCCAAGTGGCTATAAACAGCCCACCCCCTACAACCATAAACGGTTGGCTGCTCAGATTGAGAGTACGGCTTTTGTCGTTTGAGAGCAACCCACCTCGAAGCCTTTGAGAGAGAGAATTCCTTGCGAGGATAAATCCCTAACCACCCAGAGCCAGAGAACATTGGGCATCACTTAAGTCTTCTTGTCTGTGTGATCTGAAGACTTATTACACTTGAGGACTGTCCATCCCGAGACGGTTAGGCGTCGCGTTCAGAGCATCCAAGAGACATTCTGGATTGCCAGTGAACGAAGTCTCTGAAGGTTTGGGAGTCTACCTTGAAGACTTACCAGAGTGATTGGGCGAGGACTATGTGACCTTAGCTCAAGGAGAATACGGTGAGGACTTGGTGTCCTGAGCTGCGTGTTCAAGACTGGGTGTCCGGGACTGTGTGTCCTAAGGTTTAAATACCTAGCCGCTCCAACCAGACGTACAGTTGTCACAGCAACTGGAACTGGTCCAACACATCATTGTCTTCAACGAGTCACTGGTTTCATCTTCACTTCCTTTTACTTCTGATCATTCATTGTGAAGTCATTGCGTGCCTGTTTTATTTTTTGTCTTCACAACGTGAGTGTATGATCTATTTGGCTTCATAGTATCTTCCTACCTGATCCTAATTACACTACAGCTATTTGTCACTGTGCTTTCACTCTGTTAATACTTGACCATGGCTTGCCTAGTGTAGTCTAACTTCCGCTGCATAGTAATAGGCATATCTCTACTGTTTGTCTTCATAACTTCCACGTTTTGAAGACTTCCATAAAAATCTCCTATTCACCCCCCCTCTAGTCGATATAACACACTTTCAATTGGTATCAAAGCAAGGTGCTCCCTTGTTCTGTGTGATTCGGTTTAACCACCTGGAGTTTTAGCTATGTCGACTGCAGGGATAATTAAAGTCTCCGGCGTGCCCCGTCTTCGATGGAACTGAATATCCCTACTGGAAGAATAAGATGCGTATGCATCTTGAAGCCATTGACGTCGACCTATGGTATGTCGTCGAGAACGGCGTTCCCAAGGCTGGAGAAGGTGTCACTGCTGCTGATGTCAAGAAATTCGTTCAACTGGACTCTATTGCCAAGAACATCATTTGTGGTCATCTGACCAAATGACAGTATGGCCGTGTGAGTGCTTTGAAGACATCCAAGCTGGTCTGGGACTGGCTCTTCAAGGTCAATGAAGGCATCTCAACCCAGAGAGATCAAAGAATCAGTGTCCTTCGCAATCTCTTCAACCGCTTCAAGCGAAATGACAATGAGAATGTCCAGTACAC